TGTCTCTGTGCCGTATTTATTTTTCACCAGAAGGGCATATTTTCCCGAGTCGACTGTGCTGACAGCAGTAATGGTGAAACTGGCACATTTTCCAGCTTCATATTTCAGGATGCAATGGTCATCTGCTGTGAATGTTTTCTCGTTCTTCAGCCATGTGATCTCTGGGGTGGGATCTCCCCAGACATTACAAGTAAGATTAAGCGCCTGTAGCAAATGTACAAAAGGATTATTGTTAACAGATATTTGTTTACATCCAGATTGACAAATAATTCCCAGAAAGTCCCTTCTTTGCTGCTTCCTATTAAAAAATGGATGCAAGGATCCAAGATCAGTAATGTTTTGCTGTAGCCTGATGTGTTACCAAGGAAAAGAAACATAAAACATTAAACACCTTCAGTATTTCACAGATCTTTGCCATTTCTTTCATGATCATTACTACTGCTCTCTCTCTCTCTCTCTCACTGTTGTTTAATACCTGTTTAGGCATTAGTAGCATTTGAACATTAGGCCTTAAGCAAGAGTTTGAAAACTGTCAAATGGATTTATTTGCACGATGTCTATGATGAACATGCTGCAGGAATATTGAAGGCAAATCTATCATAATGATCTAAATAATGATTAAGCATTAAGACACTTAAATTAATTTGTTTGTTTTAAGAACCCTTTGAGCTACCACCTGACAGCCTCATCTACACAGTGCAGTAAGCTATTTTACAGACACAATTAGTGTATAGCATCCAACTGCTAAAATTTTAAATATGTGATTGGCGCTAAGCATCAGAACTCCTTCAACCAATGGTGACACTTAGGGGGTGCATGTGCACCCCCTGAGAGCGCTGGTGCACCCCCTGACAGGCTGCACTCCTTGCTTAAGCGATGGGCAGGGGGCAGATGGGAGTGCCAGTGCCCCCATTGCAAGTGCTGGCTGGGGAGTGGGAGCTCTGGATGAAGTGCTCTGGCCACTTCCCAGTCAGCGCAATCAGCTCCAGGGCGACCCCCCCACCCCACCCCCCTCGTCGGTAAGACTGGCTGCAGGGTGACCCACCTCAGTCACTGACTGGTCACTGGGGGGGCATATGCCCCCTGACTAAGGTGGCACCATGCCTTTAATGCTTCTGTCTCTTTCGATACACACACACAAGATTGCCAGACATTAAATATTGCCTTCACCACGCAGGCTGAATTTGACCCTTTCATAGTTTGTAGGGTCAGAAGGGACCTGAGCAGAT